TATTTTTGATATTTATTTTATATATTTAAATGCCATTTAACAAATAAAAATCAACCAAAAAAATGAGTTCACGTGTCACCTCTGACACACGTGTCATAGGTTTGCCATCACTGGGCTAGATTGTAGATAACATGCTTAGAGAATCCAATCACCACACTTTGGCTCATAGAACAAGTTTACAATTCTGGGGTGTACAAGGCAGCCTAGCTTTGAGAGAATACTAGATTAGCTCTCTGACAACTATATTTCTATTCTATTCTGCAAGGGACTCTTATGAGCCCATGTTTTCTCCTCCAGGGATAAAGAAATTCAGGCTAATTGACTTGATTCCAACCAGCTCTAAAGTGGGGTGCTTTTATTAAATTTAAAATGATAAATCCTTCCCATAGCAGGAATGAATAATGCAATCTTTGAAAAGTTTCTGTACTCAGGAATATATCATTATATATTGCTTAAAGTGTGTAGATCATTTTGCCTGAGCACAGAATGGGAGTTGTACTAATTAATTACAAAAAAAGTGAAACACACGCAGAGACATATATACTAACCAAAGGTATATCTGGCATTTTTGTTTAGTGGTGGCTAAAGCAGAATTTTTAAAGGGGTTTAAAGTGAATTTGTATCCTGCTCTTCTTTCATAAAAAAAATGATGAATGCAAGCATGGGTATATATGAAAGTTATGAAGCTGTTTGAAAATTTGACATACTTAAAATGTATAGACCACTTCAGTGCTAATAGCTTCCACAAGATAAACACCAGAAAGCTGAGAAGCAGTGAAATTAATTAAAAGAAAAATCAGCAAAATCTATTACAGCTAACCATGTTCCCCAAAGTCTTTTATAATATGAAGAGGTAATGATCACTTGCTTTCCCATCTGATTTGTTTTGATTTGAGCACTCAAAACTCACCCTATACAGTAGCTCTGATGTCAAGTATGAATTCCAGTTTGGGTTCATTAAATTTATTTGCTAACCATCCATTGAAGAATATAGTAGTCCTTACAAAATAAAACTTAAAAAAATGTGACACCAAAACTTCATTTTTGAAGTAAGAGCAGAGAGACTAGCAAAGGGCTCTGACAATCTGGCCCTGAGCGCCTACAGCTGGGCCCCTCAGAAGGCTTAGCTGGCTAAGAGTCTCAAGGTCAGGAGCACTGTGAGCTCGGATGCACTTCAGAAAAGGACACAAGCCTGACTGGCAGGTTGCCCGAGCCGAGCGCTGTGAAAGCACAGAGCACAGCTTGCAGAGTGCTGGAGAGGGACCATATGGGGAAGTTTGAGAGACACACTTCAGAGTTGAGTTGAGCCGAATGTTCTGGTCAGGGAAAGGTCAGAATCTGGGCAAGTGCAGAAACAGCAGGGCCATGCCAACTCGGGTGCCAAACATCAGGGCCATTCCAACTGGTGGACTCCATTTGTTTTTAATTATCAGCCTCCCGAAGGGACTTTTGTTTCTTGTAAATAAGGATGACAAACAAATTAAGCTCTAGCAGGTGCAACCAGCTTATTTTACCCTGAGCTAAAACTGGCCTCGCTAAGACGTCACCTGCCAAACAGATCTGGTGACAAAAAAGAGGGTACCTTTTTCTTCTTCCATATGCAAACTTCTGGTTGTGGGTTGTGAGTAAAGAGATGCACAAGAAAATGCAATCATCAGAGCAAATGATTTTTATTTTAGAGCGATCATTAAGGCAGTTTGTTTGACGATTGCATTGTTTTGATGAGAGACATTTTAAAACTTGGTATTTGAGCTCAGTCTTGCCAAAGTTTGAAGTTTCTGTCCAAGAAGATTTAGCGGCTGTCTGCCATTTTGAACAGCTCCCCTAGAGCACAGGATCCAGCTGCTTCACAAAACTCTTACGGTGCCATTTCTGAGGGGGATAATGAAATGCCAGCATACAGGACTGTGTCTGCAAATCAAAACTTAGACGGCGAGGAACCAGATTCTCCCACAGGGTAAGAGAAAAGAGGCATTCATATGCTGCTTTGAGTCTGAATGCAGCTCACTTGCTCTTCTGATTTTGTGTGAATGCTCCCATTTGCACCCGGGGAACACGTCAACCAGAAAATCCTTTAGTGCTGTGGACAGCCAGCTGTCCGAGGTGGGAGAGGTCTGGTCCTTCGCAGAGGCAGATTAGGTGTTCTCCTGGGGGCCTTGACAGTCAGGGTTCCGAAAGCACAGCTTATCTCACACAAACTAGGTTTCCCCTAGAGAAACTTTAAAAGAGGCTTTGTTTTTGCCAAGATTTTATTTGGGTTTTTCAGCTTAATGAATAGTAATCCAAAGAAACTGGACTAAGCTATCTGTGGTCATGTGTGAATACTGATGTCCTCTTCTTATTTTGTCAGATAGTTATATTGCATTTAGTAACTCAGAAGCACCTCAAAGAATCATTGAATGTGGAATGAAAAAAATAATGTTTTAGGGAATATTTTCCTTTTGTTTCTCACTGGCTTTTAATTAGTTAAGAAATTTTTAACACATTGTAAAAATGGTCTGTGATGGAAGCAAACCATACTTATTATATCTATATCACATCATCTATGAATAGAATTGTACTAGAAGACGAAAATAAATCTTCTTGTAATACTTTAGAATTTCACTTATTCAAAAATATCTATTAGGAGTCCACTATGTGACAGACACCATATGATGAGCCACAGATGCAAAAATAAAATAATGCACAGTAGTCCCTAAAGAGATTTCACCTACTGGGTTGTCAGATATATGAACAATTGCAGTATTTTTATTTACTTGCTAAAATAGAATTATGCACATGGTATAGTTGATATATAAAATAAGTAGAGGTCAAAAAACATTTCGTAGAGGTGAAGGCATGGGGGTGTGGAAATTCCAGGTAAAAATGAGCAGTGGGGAGATGCAAAGGCATTAACAGAGCACACAGAAGAACTCCAAGAGTTTTATTATAATTGGATATAAAGTTCAAGGGGATATAGCACCTACTATATGACAGATACCATGCTAAGCAATGAGGGAGATAATCTTTTAACTGGTCAATGATATAATCAGATATTCATGTTATCAAGGTTACTCTGAGAACAAAATATAAACCTAAAGGTTCAAGAGACTAGTCAGGATATTGTAATAACTAGAGGCCCAGTGCACGAATTTGTGCACCAGTGGGATTCCTTGGCCTGGCCTGCGGGATTGGGCCAAAACTGGCTCTCCGACATCCCCTGAGGGGTCCCAGATTGTGAGAGGGTGCGGGCCAGGCCGAGGGACCCCACCAGTGCACAATCGGGGCCAGAGAGGGACCACAGGAGGGCTCCAAGGCTTTACTTGCTCAGTCCCTATCAGCCGGACCCCAGCCACAAGCTAACCTACCAGTCAGAGTGTCTGGCTCCTGGTGGTCAGTGCATGTCATAGTGAGCAGTTGAGTGGCCTTAGCATATCATTAGCATATTACGCTTTGAATGGTTGAACGGACAACTGGACACTTAGCATATTTGGCTTTTACTATATAGGATATGTGTAATCATATACCTAAGAAGAACATCCTTCTTCAACTTTTGAAATTGTCTCTTCTTTTTCCTCCCACTCCCTTACTAGCTTAATTTCTTCTCATCTTTTGTATCTGTAGATGTCAATTCTACCATGGGGCCTTCTCCGTACACACAGACTAGATTGGGTCTCATTGTGCACATTGACATGCCACCAGGAATATATATATTCTTCATAGCAGCCATACTAACTTCAATTAACTATCTGTATAATTATTTGTTTAGCATCCATCATCCATTAACTTGTTGACATCATGGAGTCTGTCTTGCCTAGCAGGGTCTTTAGCACTTGGCAGATACTCTTTCTGTATTTCTGTGTAAATAAATGATTGTCAGAAAATGTAATATTGGATAAAAGAAGATAGGTAAGAGGAATATTAAACAGGTATGAAAGAGTTGGATAAATGAACAAAATGGAAAATAAAAGACAAATTCTAGGTGAGTTCCATGTTTCTAGCTTAGATAATTGGAGGTGCCATTAATAAGATGTATGATTATATTGTAGGGTAAGAATATGACTTAAATTGGAGCCTGACTATATTAATTAATTGGATCACAGCTAATATTAGATTACATTTTGTTTACTTTGAAGGGATTTGGTGTCATCTAGTCTTATCTCACTATATTTTCAAAAACTTTCATTGTGAATTGTTTCTGGAGAAGATTATCATGTACTATTTAGGTTGGTTATACTTTCCTTCAGTTTCAGAAGATTATCTCCTGAATTTTTATGCTCATATGTTTGGCATTTCTCCAGTATTGAGCCAGGCTCCTTTGATATATGGCATAAGAAATTTTAAAACTTTTTCATTTAATTAAGTTAAACTTGAAAATTTGGAAAAGCTGAGGGGTATTCTTATCTTTGCAATTAGAACTAGTTTTGTTATAAAGTAAAAATAGAAGTAAAGAAATCTATAATTATCTTAATGGTTAAACCTCTCTGTAAAGCCTCATGCCAGTTAAAGAAAGATTTCTAAAGGCAGAAAGTAAGTTTTTGACATCAAAGACTGCCATGTAATCATCTCATCATTTATTCTGTTTACTTTAATAAAAAGTATTGTCTATTTCTTTCCAGTTACACACAGAGAAAAAGACAAAGTAAAAGAAAAAGAAAAACCTGAAAAGAAAGGTATAGTGTTTTTGTTATTGCTCTTTTTAGACATTGGTTCCTTCCTGTTCGGCCTCTTCTTTACATCAGATTTTAGATGATCATAAATTTATGTTTTTATTTATATTATGATAATTTTATTATAATTGAATCTGAAAAGAGTAATTTCTGGGTTGAAGAAAATGAAATGCTTAAGAATTTTGAACTCTGTTGCATATTTTGATTACCTATTAGACTAGACTTTAGATTTTTATTTTTTGTCTTATTTATTTGTTTAGAATACATAATGCAGATTCATTATTTAATGCATAAAAATACATTGTTAAAAGTTTCCTGCCTTGTTCCCACCCTCCAGGTTCCCATTCCATCCTACCTATACATATACATAGTAAAAGACTTTTATAAGTTTTATATGTATCTTTCAGAGCCTCATCATGAATTTATAAGACATATAACTTATTGTTTCTCCATGTTTTTCCACACAAAATTTAGCATGTCCTCTATTCTGACTTTTATAATTTATCAATATTATCTAGAGAACTTTCAATATCAGTAAATAGATATTTTCCTCATTCTCTTAAAAAAACTGCATTTAAGTAGAGATAAATTTTTTCACTTTAACTGCTTTATATCTATAGATTCAAAGAGTTAAGTATGAACTTTAGCAATTTATATTTCTGGTGTAACTATAATTACTTATTACCTATTTCTCCTGATAATATGTGTGCATTTCATTTGAATATATATCCTTGTCTGTCACTTTTCAAATATTTTTTTCAGTTTTGTAGTTAATGTAATGGTGTCTGTCTGTGGGAATAGATATGTGTGAGTATGTGTGTTTATATTCCTAAATTTGCATGCGGCTAGATAAATATTACTTTTGGTATTTCTGCTTTTAAATCTTTTTCCACAGATTAAATCACTAGTTAATAATATTTTCCCCAAGTTTTAAAAACTTTCACATTTCACTTTAATTCATCAAAAATCTGTTTTAATATATGATGTGAAATAAAATTCTCAGTTACTTTTTTGCTTTTATTTTAGAGTGGATTATTCCTAGAATATTTGGGTTAGACTTCAGTTGATGTATGGGTCCACAGCACGCATAGCCTGCTGAATTATCTTGTTATGTGAAACATTCCCTTACCTAGAATCCTTTATGATATTTAGGAATCTATGTTATCATTTAATTTTCTATGATATACTTAATTCTCATTATTTTCTTCAATAAATAGTATGTAAATATTGAGGAATGTATGGTGATTTGGGTACCAAACCACACAATTTAATGTATTTCAACTACAAAAATAAGCTGCACATGCTATTGGACTTCTCAAAACTCCTTTACTTAAACTTTGTGAGACACAAGGTTTTACCAGTCTGTGTAAATATAATTTAAGTTAATAATGTAAATTCATATTGTCTTATTAATTTATTACATAGACAATGTGAAGGTATGTTTCAGGTATCATGTTTAATACTACTCAATTAAAAAGCTGTACTTAGTAGTTTTATATGATTAGTTTTTATGGGTAGTAATCTACCAAAGTTGCTGTCCCTTTAAAGTATTTGGTAAAAGTTCTGGTGATCAAAGCGTCATTGGAGTGGAGATCATTTGAGAAGCAGGGACCAGAGAAGCTAAACATCTTGCCAATGCATAAGACAGTCCCATGCAGTGAAACCTATCATTCAGTGGTGTCCTCATCCAGAAATACTGTGCTTAATCAAAGCTCTAGTCCTGATTTCAATATTTCTTTTTATTAATCCTAAAGGCAGTACTTCCTCCTGATAAAATGATTCATCTTTCAACAAATTCTTATAAAGTTGTTCTCTCTGTTTGTCTTGAAAACTTTATCTGTTGGGAGTAGTAAAAAGGAGATTGAGACTAGCATTCAAAATGCTATCTCAGTCTTCACTCCAAGTCTTTAAAATTGGACTCTATTCAGATATTATTACATTGGTAGCTCTTTATTTCTGAGTTTGGCTCTTTAGAGTCATAAATCTTTGAAATAGTTCATTATTTTGGTGGTTATAAGACTGAGGTAAAGAGAAAATTTGGTTTTAAAATCTATTAAAAGTGTGTACTAATATAAAATTTTCTATTTAAGCGATTCACAAGGAAAAAGTTGAGGAAAAAGAAAAACAAGAAACAAAGACAATGGCAAAAGGTAACTTTTCTCTTGATTATTTTCATAACTAAATTCTTTTTTTGTTAAAGTTTACATTTTGGGTAACTGGATGATTGTAAGCATTCACAGTTTCCTTTACATAAAACACTAATTTGGCCTTACATTTTAAATTTAATATTTAAAGAATAATAAAACTGAATACATAAAACAATTGAGCACCTTTGAGAGGAGAATAAAGAACTCTCCCATATGTGGTAGGCAGAATTTTGGACCCCATGCCTTTCATCCCTTGATGTCATCCCAGTGGCTATGTTACATTATATAGCAGAAAGGAGTTTGCAGAAGTAGTTAAAATTCATCTAAAATACAGAAATTTTCCTGAATTATCCAAGTGACCTCAATGTAATTTCATGAACTTTTAAAAACCTTAGAGAAGGAGCAAAAGAGAAAGATTTGAAGTGTCAGAAGAACTGACCTTTGTTGCTCTCCTAAACATCCTTTACATAAGAAAATTGAGGAGGGCACATGGAAAGTGTGAGAAAAATTCTGCAACACAATGAATGAGTATGAAAGCCCATTCCTCCTAGAGCCTCTAGTAAGAGATGCCACTCTATTAATAACTTGACTTTAGCCTTGTGGACACTAAAAAGAGAATGTATTGAGCCACATGGTGACAATACTTTTGAACCATGGAAACCAGGAGATATTGAATGAATGTTGTTTCAAGAAGATGTTTTAGGTAATTTGTTACTATGACAATAAGGTTTACAGCTTTTGGCCAGTATTACACAATGAGTTTGATTTTTAGAAGATTTTAATTAAGGATTGTTTTTTAAGAAGAAAAAGTAAATCATGCATTTTGATTAATATTTTAACCATTGAATCCCCAAGTTCTTAATACTAAACCCCCAAAAATCAAATACACGAACAAAGTAAAGTATTTTGGAGGATTACATCTATCAGCTTATCCTATGCCAAATTTGTCTACCACTGGTTTGATATTAGGAAAATATAAAATTTAATTGATAGTTCAATATGAACTATTAAAATATAGGTTTTATGTGATCAGCATAGTTTAGAAATCTCAATCTAGTATTTTCAAGGGATGAATGAATCATTTAGATGAAAATTGTAATCTATTTTCAAAATTTAATGCGTTTATTTAATGTCAAATAATTAGGTATTTGAGACAGGTATTTATATATATATTAGTAAATTTTCTCAATGAGATAACCAAATATCATTTAATTGAAGTTAAGATGGATGAAAGAAAGTCTGATTCTCACTTTGGTACTCCATTGCATATGCCATTTTGGTTGAAGCTCAGGTGAACTAATGATTAATATAAGTGGCAGCGCCACTTGTTGCAAATGAATTTAACATAAAGGAATTCATATATGGGGGAAACATAGGGAATATAGAGAATGCCTTCTGGCAATATATGACATGTGGAAAATACATGAGATATTCAAGAAAAAGAAAGCAGTCCAGAGGAGGAAGAAACTGTTGGGAAATGCTATGCAAAGAAAGATGTGATGGGGCCAGATATCACAAGGTTTTAAATGCTCTCCTAAGCATGCTTCAGATAAGATTATCTGCTGATCATTATAGTTCTAGAAACTAGCTCTGAGCCCAGGTCACAATGAGCTCTCTGGCAGTATTTGTTGGGTGAATATATATGAGTTGTATGTCTCAGGTGCTGTTGGCCATCTGAGTGGAACTTTCTCTCCAGGCAGAAACTAATGAATGTTTGGTGTGGGCTTCTGGAATGATGTTGATTTAAAGTGATTTGCAGAGAGCTGATGGTTTCAGTCGTTGAACTGAGTCTGTGGTAGGAAAGAGTAGAAACTAACAAAGGAGATTTAGAAATGGTTTAAAGGGAGTAGAAGAAAATCTCCAATTGAATATAGTCACAGGAGCCACAAAGACATTAGAAGTTTGTGGGGCAGTTGAGTGTGTTTCAATGAGATTTTTAATGGTCAAGTAACTTTGGAAAACAGTGCATCGTGTAACTCCCTTCCTTGAAGATGCTCAAGACACTTCAGCATTGAGAAGTTTTAAAGAAACTGGTTTAACTTTGTGATTCCGAATTTATTTGATCATAGGAATATCCCCCTATTCCTAACACAGTATCAGCATCTCCCTGTAAAGTTTCTGAGGAATGGAGCTTTGGGAGATATTGGTCTGTTTAAGAAAATGAAATACCCCAAACAATTCTGGTTTTGTAAATATCAGGCATTATCATTTTCATTCTCCTCTTTATTCTTCACTGGACCTCACAATATTATCTTAATTTCAAATCATTGTTTAGTGTACTAAAGTCAAGAAACTTGATTATAATATTTTCATCAAATTCTTCAACATGAATGACAATAAAAGCTAGCCATTACCTTGATAAATTACATGAGAGTCCAACATTGTAGTAGACTTATTTTGATATCTAGTGATTATGTATGATCCCTTAGAATAAATGATGTCCAATATGCTGCATCTATTATAAATAATTTTTTATAAATGTATGCTATATTATTATTGCTTTCTAAAAAGATAATTGAAAGATTCACAGACTATTTCATATTCCCAGTTCTCTTCCTCCAGACACACATAATAGCAAATTAAAATAATGTTTGTATATAAAATATATGTATATATTATAATTAATATATATTCATACATATTCTAATTTGTAGCCCTTTCTATTTACTGAGATACATTTAAGTGCTTTAAAAGTCAATATAATAATTATTTCTGACTTAAGATTTGCAGGAGCCAATATGTTAATTCCTGCTCTCTTTATGTCTCTTTAAAGTCAAGTTACTAGAAACTGAATGTCTGAGTCATCCTTTAATGGATTTTATTGTTTGATCCCTTTTAGTCATCATCATTGCGAGCAATTTTACATTTATATTCCCAATAGTTATCTTTAAAAAGTCTTATGTTGACAGTTCAGTCTCTTTAGTGACTTTTAAGATATTCAGTTGTGGGACAAAATTATCTGATCTCTCTTACTGGCTTTTTGGTTTGAGCATTGCCTTTCATTGAACATGCCTGTATACACACCCCCTGCACATTTGCAATACCTCCTTGTTGATATACTAAGTTCCTAACTACCTAAAAAATAATGTGTTCACGTGCAAATTAAGAAAGAGTCCAACGTTTCCTTTGTTTTACTACTCTAATATGGCACTTCCTAAACTATGTAAAAGTCAGATAATGGTATTTGTGTCAAGTATTTATCTCAGAGATACTATTTTTCTATTGTTTTTTCTTTTTTCTTTCTTTTTAAATTGTTCTTAACAACCAGTGAAATATGAAATGCTGTGTTGGTAAGTGAACAAAAATAAACCAACTTTTTAAAAACCTATACAGAAGAGAAGAAAACTAAGACTAAAGAAAAGACTGAAGTAAAGACTAAAAAGGAACCGAAAGGTGGGAAGCAGGAGAAAGTGAAGCCATCAGCTGCAAAAGGAAAAGAAGTACAGAAAACATCACCTAAACCCAAAGGGAAGGATGAGAAAGAGACCGTAGCTGTGTCCAAGCATGAACAGAAAGGTAAACATTCAGACAAGGCGGCTGGAGGTTGTAAAAGAATATTGGGCAAGAAGCAGATAGAGTGAAATTAAAATCTGAATAAGACTGAGATCAGACATCAAATGGGGGAAAAGATTTGTATAAGTAAATACACTTGGAAAGAAATATAATAAATTGGAAATTAAAATTTATTTATAGACATACCAAAATGTGTCTACATATCTAAAGATGCACTTTGAAGTATTTTGAAAAGAGGATTTGAGTTAGGATCTGAAGTTATTTAAAGGTTGGTGATAAATGTTGAATTCTCAAGATAAGAGAGTTCTATTAAGATGTGCAACAAACATTGTATGTGTTCTACTCTTTGGAGAAAAATAGTCCAAGAAAAATAATAATTCTTAAGGAGTAGTTTAAAGGGTGTATGTTCAAATATATAGAAAAACTATTCATACATTTCTGTTGCCTCTGTAAGAGCATATAATTTAGAATATACATTAAGTTATTAAATTCATTTAATTTGATAGGCAAAAAGGTTTAGAAGAACCCTCAAGTTTCTTTGCCAGCTTCTATGACTAAGTGTATGACTTTGGTAAGCTCTATATCTGACATACTGTGTGGTTCTTCAGCTAGATTGATGTTAAACTTACATCCCTACTGATACAATAGTAGAGAACATTTCAAAGGAAGTGAAATATGCACCTGAAATTCTTTATGGGAAGGTGCTATGTAAACATAAAATGGTGTAGTTTTAAGAGGGCAGCTGATGGCCTGTTGGCTCACATTTCTGTCCCTTGTTGAATCAGTCCTTCCCTAAGTCCATTCCTGGCTCCAACTGTTACACAACCGGAGACCCCCCATACAGAATGTGGGATCTGCTCTGTAGGGACTATTCCTGCACAGGTTTCTCAGGAGTATTGCAAAATAACATTTCTCTGTACTCCAGTAGTTTTGAATAATTTTATTCGAGGACTAAAATTAAGAAGTGGTTTCTGGGATACTTTCATTAAAATATTTTACAACTTTCTTACTAAGGTATTTGAACGGTGAAATTGAAAATATTTTTTCCCATTATAAGGTGTAAGATATAAAATTTGCATCCCACACTTTTTTTTAGATTCCACATGTAAGTGAGATATATGATATTTGTTTTTGCAACCTATTCTTGCATTTACTTTTAAACCACGTTTCCCCTGAATTTATAAGCAATATTTATAAACTTTAATTTATATTTAAAAATTTTAAGGGAAGAGAAGGAAAGGAAGAAAAGGTAAAAGCTAAAAAAAATTATTTTTTAGTTATCCACGTAATTTTTAAAAATATATATTTTTATTGATTTCAGAGAGGAAGGGAGAGAAAGAGAGAGATAGAAGCATCAATGATGAGAGTGAATCATTGATTGGCCGCCTCCTGCACTCTCCCTACTGGGGATCAAGCCCCCAACCCAGGCATGTGCCCTTGACTGGAATCAAACCTGGGACCTTTCAGTCCACAGGCTGACACTCTATCCATGGAGCCAAACTGGTTAGAGCACATAATTTTTAATTTAGGTAATTTTCATTTATTACAATGTAATATTTTAAGATATGAGTGGAGTTTAAACTTTGGAGCCCTAAAAATGTATATTAAGTATTGCCCCTCTTAAAACTATATGTTATTTTAAAAATAATTTGGGTACAAAAAATACATAGTAAATAAAGATAAAATATTTTGAATAGATTATTTTACTGTGACAGAAAACAGGAAAATTAATCTTCTGACTCATTATATGTTTATTTACAATTATTATCAATACCCTAAAATACTTTAAATTTTAGATTGCCCTTTAAAAAAGAAAAGAATCTGCTGAAACATACCAAGTATCTAGCTAGGAAATTAACTAGACACATGAATATACTTTTTTAAAATATATTTTTATTGATTTTTTACAAAGAGGAAGGGAGAGGGATAGGTAGAAACATCCATGAGAGAGAAACATTGATTAGCTGCCTCCTGCACACCCCCTACTGGGGATCAAGCCTGCAACTCAGGCATGTGCCCTTGGCCAGAATCAAACCTGGGACCCTTGAGTCCGCAGGCTGACGCTCTATCAACTGAGCCAAACCGATTAAGGCATGAATATACTTTTTATGTTTATTTTTAGCACATTTGGTTTTTGGATGAAGAATATATTATTATTTATTATTATTATTGATTTCAGAGAGGAAGGGAGAGGGAGAAAGATCTAGAGGAACATTAATGATGAGAGAATCCTTGATCGGCTGCCTCCTGCATGCCCCGCTACTGGGGATCAAGGCTGCAACCTGGGCATGTGCCCTGACCAAGAATTGAACTGTGACCTCCTGGTTCATAGGTCAATGCTCAACCATTGAGCCACGCCAACAGTGCAGGGGCACATATTATTGATGGAGACATATCCCTAGAACATTTTCAAATAATATTTATTTTCATGGTCACCTGTATTTTATTTCTATCAGTAAAAAGGATTATTAAATATAACATTATGTTACCATTTTCACTTCCATTCTGCTGTTTTTATTTCCACATGAAAAGCTACTTATCTATTAAAAGGACATTCAAATTTTATTTAAAGTTAGAAACAAAACCACAAATATGATTTTATCAGCTAAATAAGTGCATGTGCTAAAGTAAAGCACCTTATTGAGACCTGCTACCATCAATTAAATAAATGTTTCATTAGGTAAGTCATCAAAACTTTAACTTCTAATACCTGGTCAGACACATAAATATGTGTGTTTTTTAATTAAGCAAAAATTTAAGAGCATTTAAAACTAATAAAAACTAATCACAAAATGGTTTTAAGTAAACATGACAAAGACAGTGTTTTTAAAATATTCTGTGAGGAGGCTTTGATTTTGAGACTCTTGTACTGCTGATTTAGTAAAATTGTTGAGCTAGTTCTCTTTTGCGCAAGGGAATATTTATTTCCTTAGATTAAATTACGCCTAATTAATTTGAGTTATTCTTTTCATACAAACTTCCAAATAATTCTTTTTGAACAAATAGGGCCCCTAGGTCTTTTACTCACTGGAAATATATTTTTACATGGACCACATACACTTATTGAGAATGATTTAATCATACAGGGTAGGTAAAACTGGTTTATACTTGTAATACAAATAAACAAAACTAATAAATAATAATACAAGAATAAACTCTGTGTTTTGCATACTCACAACTGTAAACCTAACTTTGCCTACACCTGTATAATATACATGCACATATATATATATATTCATTTGTGGTTATTCTTACTATTGAATATATAAGCAATATATTCCTACTTAAAGCATTGGGAATAAGATTCATAAGTATGTACATATCTACCACAAACTTGTACACACAGTTATATAGCATATAATATAGTTTTTATGGACCAATCTTAACCTATTTAAAGTAGGGTAAGAAGGGTTGACATGAGCAGGCATTGCTCCCTGATTTTCTGATAGTCTGTGGCAAATCTTCGGGGAAGGAAG